GTTTTAGGTTTTAGTTCTCTTGCGAGAAATTGAGTTGGCAAAAGGCCTAGTAATTCATGATGCATCTGAAAGCAATTCTGCTGCAACCTGGCCAGACTTTTCTTCTATATCTCAATTGCCTAATAATTCTAAAGACTTGGCTCATTTTCTCCAGGATTGTTCAAAGTCGCTTAATGCCTTTTCTGATGGTATCGGAGATCAAGGAACGAGCAGCTCAAAAGTTATTAACGAGCACTTGGTTACCTGGAGAGGCTTAGCAGAACTCCAAGCACAAAACCAACGTCTTATTTCAATTGCACGGGATCTTGCTAGCCAGCTAGAAAAACACGAATCTTCTGAAGCAGAAACTGAGAAAAATATCGCCAATCTTTCTACTCGCATAGATTCTCTTCAAGGTATAATTTTGGTTTTATTGAATGCTTTTTTGACAAAACCTTGTTTATTCTATTCATATTGTGCTCCTCAGTCTCATACTTCTTAACATAACATCTTTCCTACCCTCCAGTCTTCTAGCACTCATCACTCCTTCATTTATCCAAGGTCTTCCTGTACACTTGATATGCCTATATTTCCTTTGATTCCAAATCGACCAATTTACTATGTATATTGTTTAATACGATTGCTCTTTAGGCGAAGTGGATCTAGCCAGACTAGCAGCCAAGGAGGCGCGCAGTGAGGCCTCCGTTGCTGTATCACAACGTAATACATATCGCCAACTACTAGAAGAACATGGGATTGAAGTGGCGGCCATGGCTAGCCTTCCTGGCTCTGACACGGAGGTTTCAGGGGACAATCTTAAAGGCGCAGATATTTCTCACTCAGACTCCTTTACTTCAGGTATTCCTTGTTTGTTTATTCACAGTTTTTGATTTTTGTGTTGCACATGCCAAACCTAATTGTAGAATTTAGTTAGGCGATGAATAGTGTTTCAGGATACCGCCTTAATTATTAAGGTGTTTGCACATTTTTATAACTTTAATATTGCTTTACTTTCAAACCAATGATAAGTGCTTTTTATAAATAAAAAAGAAGACTTCATTAATCCGCACACTTATATGAGACCATATGAAAAATATTTCCTAATAAGAAGCCAAGAAGTGTGTGGGGAGAGTTATTTTCCTGTGGAGAAATGGGATGCCTAGACAATGTCCATTAGATTAAATGTTCATTTACTTTTTTCTAAAGCAAACGAGGCCTTGATGGTCGGGCTTTTTATCTAATCGGCGGATGCCATGTTGTCATCTTAACGGAAAGAATAAACATTACATTAAATGTGAGAAAGTAGATTAAGCAAACGTGAACTGCGTAAGCTCAGTGAATCAAAAATAATTGATAATTTATAAATAATGTCAAGTCTGATCATGCTAAGGCTTGTTACTAGTGTATATCTCGAGTTGTATGGAAAGTTTTACCCATAAAGATCCCGGAATAAATAATGACGGTAGCCCCTATATGGTCTTTGAAACTACATTTACTAATTACTAATTAATTGAAGAGTTTTAACGGAGACATGCCGTAAGCTAAATTTAGTTAATCAATAAAATTTTATTTATTTTTTTTACAACTAACTAAATAGGATTATAAATTCACATTTAAGTGTTCATATTTGCGTGAAGAACGGCTATAAAAGGTTGATTTGTTGTTTGGCGTTGATATAGCTATCACAGTTATTTTTATTAGTTTATCAAAGTTCTAGAATAAGATTTCATTAATCTATAACTATTCATTATAAAGTTAAGTTACAGCAAAAATTTGACTATTTTGTTCAAATAGTTATCAAAAAATATTGTCCTTATACTTCCACGTAGACTTAATTAAACTCACAATTAGATTTTCTTTCATTACTATTTAGGGAGATTAAATATCCAGGCCTCCTTTGAATACAAAATTATATCTAAGAAATATTTCTGTTGCCATTCGAACGCAAAATAAATTGGTAAAATGATTTTTTTTAGCTTTGAACAACTCGAAGTATTGCAAGAATAAATTAACTCCTTTATCTTCCACTCATTAATTTTTTGAAGAAGATATTTTTAATCCAAGCTTGCATGGTTGACTAGTGGCTAACTTCCCACTGATTCTCCTTAACCACAATTGTACGATTGACTTTAAAGTTATTAATTCTACTTTATTGAGTAGCTACTCCTGCATAAGGGTTGATAAACTGGCTTTCTTTTAGGAAATTTCGACTAGTTCTAGCGAATAATTAGAGTTCTGGCTACGGAGTTCTTTGAAAGAAAAAAAAGAAATTAGCAATGTTAAACTGTTTTTCCACTATTATGGTCTTTTTGAACTTCATTTATTTCACAGCGATGTTTGTGCACACATTTCAAGTGTTGACTTTTTTGTTAAACTATTTATTTTGCTAACTTACCGATTCATTTTGTAATCGCTGTTCGTGCATGTTTTTTTAATCGTGTGAATCAGGGAAGAAGAAATACCTATATGAAGTGTGTAACTGATTCATTTTCCTCTATTGAGAGTAGGAATTTCATTAAGAGAGCCTCTTGTATAAAAGAGTACATTACACGTTGCTACTTCTATTTTGATGCTCATTCAGCTAATATGTGCCCTATTGGATCTTTTTTATACATAGCAACTGGTTATCCCTTACCCATCATCTAAAATTTTAAAGTTGGGACATTTTTTCATGAATGGTGCAGTTGTGTGTTTCCATGTCATTTCTTGGTTTTATTTTCCTATCTAATCAATCGGTATGTTTCGTGCCTAGTAGTACATAGGAATCTAATTTTTTGTATATTGCTTTGGGCTAGATTTTATCATCAATCTATTTATTGTTCAGTTAAGCTCGATTGCTCTTAAAAAAATTTCAATTTTACTATTATTACTGTCTGTTCATCATTAAGTGAAACACGAGTATTTAGCTCTGGTTTCTAAGTGTCGTATCTCCACGAACATTTTTATATTGTGATTTTTCATGCCTATCGGACACAGATAGATCCTGTACTTGGACTTTTCATTTTTTTATTATTTGGATTGAAGTTACTTATAGATCGGAGAATCGATTTGAAATTGTCACTTGTTATTTTCGATTTAAGCAATACAAAGTTTTTTCTTAGGTCAAGATTTACGCCAAATTCAATTTTATAAATAATTTTAATTGTCATAAGACAGCTTTGCCATTTCGCCGGCATGGTTTTTCATACTCTTCTTAAGATATTCCTAATCACCTTGAATTGGCGTTCCTAGATAGAATGAAAGCCGGCAAATTCCCTGGGTTTGACTTCCCCTTTTGAGCATTGGATTAGGCTTATTCTGCTTCTTTAGCCTTCTGGCCTAGGATAATTTCGCTGACTAACCAAGATTATTGTAGCTTTGTTCTCCTTTCGGACTTATCTCTTTTTCAATGTCTATCAACCAAGTCACGAAATATGTCAGGCCGAGTTAGGCCTAAAGAAAATAGTACCTGGAAATTAGTCCAGGAATGTTATCAATAAAAATATTATATGACTTCCACGTCAAGTAAATGATGGATATTGATGAGATATCAAAAGATTTAGGCTTTTATCTTATTGCTTGACTACACTATTTTTATATCCAACTTTTACAATTGGTGTTACCATAAGGTTTTTCCAGCATAACTCTTGGTTACAACATGGAGTTTGTTTTAGCGGGAGTGAATAATGCCAGTTGTGCCATTTTTATCAGTTCAAGTCTTTTTTACTAATTTAATTAAGATAATCCTATCAAATGTTGTTGATTGTGCTTTGGACTTTAACAACCTTTTCTCAAAATTTTTTATTGCCAGAACATAAACAAAGTAGCCTTCGTGGTGGCCAAAATTCTCCAGTCGCATCCAGACTTGCCGTAGATCGCCTGGAGGATACAATTTCCTCTCTTCGAACTGAGTTCCAGCGATATCGTAAGGACAAATCCGAATCTGATCAAGTCTATACTTCCACAATCGATCAGCTGCGAAAAGAGTCAAATGATGCGAGGATTCTCAATCAAAAGCTCTCCTCGCAAGTACGTTTATTTTCATCAATAGCTGTTCAGACGGTCTCATTATTTTTAATGATAGTTATCCTTTCGGATATTTTATTGCTGATTGATTATGCGCAATCACATATTAGTTACCATAATATCTCATGTCATTTTCTCCATTTTTATGTGACAACAGTGAATCGTCTCAAAAAATCAAGATATCCAATAGTGAAAATATATTTATGGAATCTCTTGTTTATTTATCGCAT